CCTATCTGGCATTATTGCTTGTTATGTAGCCTTTAGCTATACATATGGACTCTTAAAAAATTATATTGGTGCCTTTAATCTTTGGTTATACTTTCCTTTTGAGTGTTTAAGGCCATACAGTTGGCCTAGATAAACCAATTTATTTTTACTTCTAAGGTCGTTTGAGGATCTGTTCCTCAGGGATCATATGGGCTTGGGAGGAGCCCCTGGCTCCTTTCTTTTACCAGTTCCACCTATGTGAAGATAAGTCAAAGGTTCTGCCCGACCATGATTGGCTTCACTTGGAAGTGTGGAGGAAATGATTCCTCTGTGTTAACCCTCCACTTTGTAGATTGGACACTGGTTCAAGTCCATCTGGTGGGGTCTTCTTGGCCTCCTTGATCAAGAGGACAGGTGACGAACCATAATTATAGGACATTTTGAGAGATGCTCATAGTCCCCTGGAACTAGTCGACCTAGGAGGGCAAGGAGCAAAAAGTGTCCTTTATGTCCCTCTGACCAAATTAGTATAGGCCTCAAAGTATGTCTGTTAAACATCCAAGAAGGTTAGTTCCACCAGTCTGGTACTTGTAATTACTGTGTGTCATGTAGATAAATCTTGGGGAAAGATCAGTTTTTCTCAGATAAACCTTACCTAGACATATATTTCTTGATCTGCTATGTATAATTTTTCCGTAGGTTGTTGGAGTAATGTGGTTATCTCTTGTATTGTCTCACCCCTCCATCATGGTTTTCCCACTTAAGGTGCCCCAATTTCCCCCCTTTCTCCCTCAGTAATACCCTTTTCCTATGGTCCTACCTCTCTTGAGCTCTTTCTTTCCCTTTATCCCCTAGGTTCCTTGTATACCCTTCCCTCCCCCCTCCCTTAAACTAACCCAGTTTTTATCCATATCTCCCTTATTAAGGCCTATTTCCTACTGTTCTTCTCTTTCAGGTTCTTTCTTTTCCTTTACCTCCCTGTTTCCTTTCCATTATACTGGTTCCTGTATTTAAGTCTAGATACATACCCGCTTATCAGAGTTTGGTTCTAGGATCCACATGAGGGAAAACATATGTCCATTTTTTTTCTGAGTCTGTGTTACTTCACTTAGTATAACAGTTTCTAGTTACATCCATTTACCTGCAAATTTCATGATTTCATCTTTCTTTATTGCTGAGTAAAACTTCATCATATAAATGAAGCACATTTTTATTATCTGCTTGGCAGTTGAGGGACACTTATGTTGCTTCCTTCTCTTAGCTATTGTGAAAAGAGCAGCAACAAACATGGATGTACAAGTGTTTCTGCAATAGGATGAGTTCTTTGGGTATATGCCAAGGAGTGGTATAACTGGGTCAAATGGTAGGTTCATTTGTAGTTTTTTCAGAGTTCTCCACACTGCTTTCCATAGGGGTTGAACAAGTTTGCAGCCACACCAGCCGTGGATGAGTGTTCCTCTTTCCCCACATCCTCTCCAACATTTGGTATCATTTGTTTTCTTGATCTTAGCCAGTCTGACTGGGGTAAGGTGAAATCTTGAAGTGGTTTTAATTTGCATTTCCCTAATTATTAGTGATGTTGAACATCTTTTATGATGATTCATCACCATATTTACTTCTTTTGAGAATTCTCTGTTCAGCTCCTTAGCCCATCTTTTAATTGGGTTACTTGTCTTGATTCTCTGTTTTTTGAGTACGTTATATATTCTGGATATTAAACCTTTGTCACACGTGTCGCTGGTGAAGATTTTCTCCCATTCTGTGGGTTTTCTCTTTGCTTCCCTGGTTGCCTCCTTTGATGTACAGAAGCTTTTTAGTTTAATGAGGTCCCATTTGTTAATTCTTGCCCTTGTGTCCTGAGCAATTGATGTCTGGTTTAGAAAATCCTTTCTTACACCTATATCTTACAGGTTTTTGCCAATGTTTTTTTCTGACAGTTTCAGAGTTTCAGGTTTTACATTGAGGTCTTTGATCCATTTGGAATGGACTTTTGTGCAGGGGGAGGGAAAGATAGGGGTTTAGTTTCATTCTTCTACAGATGGAGATCCAGTTTTGCCAGCACCATTTGCTGAACATGGTGCCTTTCCTCCAGTGAATATTCTTAGCCCCTTTGTCGAATATCAGGTGGCTGAAGTTGCATTTACTCATATTTGGTTCTTCAGTTTTATTCCATTGATCTATGGGTCTATTTTTGTGCCAGTACCATGTTGTTTTAATGACTATAGCCCTGTATTATAGCTTAAAATCTGGTATAGTAATCCTGTCCCCCGCCCCCCGGCATTGCTCTTCGTGCTCAGGGTTGCTTTGGCTATCTGAGGTCTTTTGTGCTTCCATATGAATTTTAGGATTGTTTTTTCCAATTCTGTGAAAAATGTCATGGGGATTTTTTTGGCATTGCATTGAATCTATAAATGACTTTTGGTAGGATGGTCATTTTCACAATATTAATTCTTCCAACCCATGAGCCTGGGAGTTCCTTCCATCATCTGATGTCTTCCTCAATCTCTTTCTTTAAAGATTTAAAACTTTCATTGTAGGAACTTTTAATGTCTTTGGTCATGTTTATTCTGAGAATTTTTTTTTTTGCATATATTGTGAAGGAGAGTGTTTCCATGTATTCTTTCTCTGATTGCTTATTATTGGTATCTAGAAAGGCTACAGTTTTATAAGTAATTTTGTAGCCTGCCACTTTACTGAACGTGTTAATAATTTCTAGGAGTTTTCAGGTGGAATTTTTGGTGTCTCTTAGATATAATTATCAAGGGATAATTTGATCTCTTCTTTTCCAATTATTACCTCTTTAATTTCGTGCTCTTGTCTTATTGCTCTTGCAAGAGTTTCAAGCACTATGTTAAAGAGAAGTGGAGATAGTGGATAGCTTTGTCTGTTTCCTGATTTTCAATGGGAATTCTTCCAGTTTTTCTCCATTTAGAATGATGTTGGGTGTGGGTTTGTTATATATGGCTTTGATTATGTTGAGATATGTTCCTTCCAGTCCAATTCCCTCTAGGACTTTGAACATAAATGTGTGTTGAATTTTGTCAAAGGCCTTCTCTGCATCTATTGAGATGACCATGTGGTTCTTGTCTCTGAGCCCATTTATATGATTTATGACATTTAGTGACTTACATATATTGAACCATCCCTGCATGTCTGGGATAACATCGAGTTGATCATGGTGGATGATGTTTTTGATGTCAGTCTGTATGTGGCTTGCAAGTATCTTGTTGAAAATTTTTGCATCTATGTTCATTAAGGATATGGGTCTATAGTTTTCTCTTTTGGTTGTATCTTTACCTGGCTTTCTTATTAAAGTGATGCTGGCTTCATAGAAGGAATTTGGAAGTTCTCCCTCCATTTTGAGCTTTTTGAATAAATTAAGTAGTATTGGATCTAGATCTTCTTTAAATATCTGATAGAATTCTGCTGTAAATCCCTCTGGTCCTGGTTCTTGTACATCTGGGTGCACGTGCATCTGTGTACATGTGTTGAAACTAGAGGGCATTCTTAGGTGTCATTTGTCCTCAGATGCCGTCCACTTTGGTTGGTTTGGTTGTTTTTTTTTATTTTTCAACTTTATTTTTATTTTATAAGTGTTTTACCTGCTTTTGTGTAAGTGTACCCGTCTTGTGCCATGGCCACAGAGGCTAGAAGATTGTGTCAGATCCCCTGGAACTGGAGTTACAGATAGTTGTTAGCTGACATGTAGGTTCTAGGAACTGAACCCACTTCCTTTCCAAGATCAGTCAGTGCTCTTACCTGCTTAAACATTTCTGCAGTCCCTACCTTGCTTTTTTGAAACAAAGTTTCTTACTGGCCTGTGACTTGCCAGCAAACTCTAGGCATCTGCTGTCTCTGCTTTCCTAGTTGCTTGGATTAAAAATGCATTCCATCACACCCAGCTTTTTTAGATGGGTTCTGGAGATTGAACTCAGGTCTTTGTGCTTGTACAGTATACACTTTTTTTGTTTGTTTTGTTTGTTTGTTTTGTTTTGTTTTGTTTTGAGCCAGGGTCTCACTGTGTAGCTCTTGCTGGCCTTGAATTCTCAGAGATTTATTCTCCTCTTCTTCCCAAGTGCCTCAGTTAAAGCTGTGCACTACCATGCCTGGTGTGTGTGTGTGTGTGTGTGTGTGTGTGTGTGTGTGTGTATACGCACGCATGCCATGACACCCCTGTGGAGATCAGATGGCAGTTTGTGGGAGTTGATTCTCTTCTTCCACTATGTAGGTTTCAGGCTTAAACTCAGATGGTCAGGCTTCATGGAAAGTATTTTTATCCACTGAACTATCTCACCAGCCCAAGATTTTTATTTTTAAAAAATTTATTTTTTTAATTTTATGTATATGAGTATATTGCCTGTATGTATGTAAGTGCACTCATATTGTGCAATGCCCATGGATTTCAGAAGAGGGCATCAGATCCCTGGATCTGGAGTTAACAGACAGTTGTTAGCTGCCATGTGGGTGCCGGGAACTGACCCATGTCCTTTGTACGAGTAGCCAGTGATCATAACCACTGAGCCATCTCTCTAGTCCCAGCCCAAGATTTTTAATGCTGTGACTTATTTTATGTAAAAATATAAATGTGTTAAATTTATATTTTAATTTTAGACTTTTGTTTTATTTTTCAGACATGGTTGTACATGTAATGAGCTATCTCCTGATGATATTCGAACTATAAGGATGTCTTTGTATGGACTAATTAAATATTTTCTGTGCAAAGGTGGAACTCATGAAGAGATACAAAGTATTATGGGTTACATAGCTGCTACTAATGAAGAGGAACAGGTACTATTGCCTGAGATAAATTTTATTTTTCTTAACTTTTAAATTACTCTGTCATCTTTATAAACTTATGTATTTATTTAATTAGATGTTTAACAAATAAAACTTTATTATATAGTGTCACGATATTACATAAAGAAGTACATTTTAATTTCTATGTGAAAGGTAGCTGCTGTGACAAAATAGCTGAAAATAGTACTTTTTAAAAAAATGTTTTATTTTCATGTGTATAAGTGCATTGTCTGAATGTGTTTAAGTGCCCCTGTGTCATGCAGTGCCCGCAGAAGTCAGAAGAAAGCATTGGATCGCCTAGAACTGGAGTTATGGACTTTTGTAAGCTACTATGTGGGTGCTGATAATTGAACCCAGGTCCTCTCCAAGAGTAGTCAGTGTTCTTAACCACTGAGCCATCTCTCCAGCCCCTGGGAACAGTATTTTTAAAGAGAAAGATTTATTTTGGCTTACGATATCAGAGATTTCAGTGGCACTCTCACTTGCTGTTGTTGCTTCTACATCCATAAGACAGAACTTTGTGGCAGAAGAGTGTGGTAGGGCAAATCTGCCTCATGGCAGCCAGGAGGCAGAAGGGAAAGAGGGAGGACCTAGGAAGATATGCCTTCCAAAGTCACAACTCCATGTACCTATTTCAGCCAATGCTACTCTTATCTTCTTATAACCCACTCAGCTATTAGCTCATCCGTTGATGAAGTTTGTGTCCTCATGATCTGATTGCCTCAACAGTGCCACCAGCTAGGGAACAAGATTTCAGCACATGAGCCTTTTGGGAGGATACCTTATGTCCAAATATTAACAGTTGCTTTATCTGACAATTCTCAAGTTTTCTTTTAATAGTCTACTTTGTATATATTTATCATCAACTTGAGAACTTACTATATATACAAATAATTTTATTAAGCAATACAGGTAATATAATTGTGTAAATTATTCTTTTAGTCTAATAGAATCCTACATAATTAAGAGAGATTAAGACACAACTATGAACCAAGAGTATTTTATATTTGTAAGAGACCTGTCAGGTTTTTGTAGGAGAATTTTACATGTTGAGGAGACCAAGTTAGACTTCATGGAAGCAATGCCTTTTCATATAGGCAATGCAGGCTAGATATGGTTCCCGTAGATGCTGACTATATATAATGAAAGGACACAAAAGATAATGGAAGAAACCAGACATACTGGCAATAAAAAGCAAATCAGGCCAGGAACATACCAGATAATTCAGTTAAATTAAAATATTAGGGTATATAGAATTTAATTAAATAACGATTTTGAGGTTTATGCCTTTTTTTTTTTTGTGCATGTATACCGAGTGGTTGCTTGTTTTATTTAATTTTATTTTGTGTTGTTTAAATTTAAAAGCTCCTTGGAATTTTGGATGTACTCTTCAGTCTCCTCCGTACTAGCCCAACGAGGGGTCAACTTTTCTTACTGATGTTTGAACCAGGAAATGCAGACATACTTTACGCTTTGCTGTTAAATCAGAAGTACTCTGACAAATTAAGAGAAATCATTTTTAAGGTACAAGCAACTTGTAAACATTTTTATATTTGGGAGAGCATTTTTGAATATATGAACTTGCTTGCAACATAACCATTTTGTGACTGTAAATTCCTTTTTTATACCTATTTCTTACTTAAGTTTGTTTTGATACATATACATGTTTGAATATTTAAAATTCTATATTATAGACTGGATGTATAGCTAAGTAATAGAGTGCTTGCTTACCGTACATATGCCTTAGGTATCTTCCCCCTCAAATCTACCAGAATAGCCAAAAACCAAAAAAAAAAAAAAAAAAAAAAAAAAGGGAAAATCCTTCAAAACAAACAAAACCAGTTAAACAACAACAACAAAATTAATTATAATCTGACAAATCATGTCAGTGGAATATTCATTTGGTCATATTGTCCTTAATATAAAAACCCCTCTCTCTTACTTGACTTATGATAGATCTGTGTTAATTTGGAACATTTTAACAGGTAATAATAATAACAAACTTAAATGGCGTATTCCTAATATCAAGCATTAAGTGCTTTTCAGGTATTAGTTTGCTTAATCCTTGCAGCAATTTTATGAGATGGATATTCTTGTTATTCCTGTTTTATAGATGATTAAATTGAAGCCAGAGAGACTAATGGCTTTATCAAAGTATACAGAATATATTTTATTAAGCTATCTAAAATGTCAAAAGCTTTGAATTTTGACAATGAAGCTGCCCATTTCATTTTGTTAACTGAAAGTAGAGAACTCAGTCATACTTCTACCAGCTTTTAAAATTCTCATTTGTTATACATAATTGCCTGGTGACATTGGTTTTTTCTTTCATTATTATTAGAGTTATGTTATTAAACATACTTAAAAGAGTTATATTTGGATTACCTATGTTTGAAATCATAGGCATTTGTTTGTTCTCTTTTGAAAACAAAGATGCTGGGAATAAAAGGTCTAAAATGGTTTGCCTTTAGTGTTGCAATGGTTACCTGTGAGGCTGCTCTTTAAAGCATGTCTTCATTGATGAAGAATAAATATTATTTCTTTCAAAATTCCTTTTTAGGGATTATTTATGATATCAATATATCCTTTCATAGGTTATATGAAAATAACCTCCTTATTTATTTATTTATTTACTTATTTATTTAATAAATCGAGTCTCTCTTTATAGCTCAATGGAACTTGCTGTATAGTCTAGGCTGGCCTGGAACTCACAGAGAGCTGCCTGCCTCTACCTCCTGAGTGTTGGGACTATAGGTATGTGCTATGCCATGTCCTGCTATAATCTCTTTTAAAAAATTATTTTCAAATTTATGTGTATGACAGTTTTGCCCACATGTATGGAAGTATATGGGTCATGCAATGACCACAAAGGCCAGATGAGGGCATCAAATCCCCTGGAACTGAAGTTAAGGTTGGTTGTTTACCATGTGGGTGCTGGGAACTGAATCCTGGTCTTCTGCGTAAGCAGCCAATGTTCTTTAACTGCTGAGCTGTCTCCTCAGTCCTGAAAATAACCTCTTGAAAAATATGAATCTAACCCCTAAAAATAATGAGGCTACAAGTTCAGTCTCCCATTTTTGCATATGGATTATTTTATTGCTTCACAAATGTTTTCTGTTCTTAAAAATTAATAAATGTTAAATAAATGAATTAAGAGTATTTTGACATACATTTGTCCCTTGTGCCAACCATACATAAGTTTTACATTTGCCATTTGTCATATTTAAACTAGAGTTTTAAACATTTACTCAAGAACAAATGCATTTCAGTATAATTTATTCTTTTTTTGTTTTTTTTTTTTGTTGTTTTGGTTTGGTTTTGGGTTTTTTTTTTTGAAAGGGTTCCTAGTCCCAGCCAATCTGGAAGTCACTATGTAGACCACGCTGGCCTCATCTCACAGAGATCTGCCTCCCTCTGCCTTCCAAGGACTGAGATTAAAAGGTACATACCACCATGCCCAATATAGTACAATTTATTCTTAATGTTCCAAAATCCAATATACAATATTAATATTTAATATTAACCTAAATTACAAACAGCTTTTATTTCTCTTTATTGAAAAAACTATTTTCTTTCTTGTGACCAGGTCATGGAACAAATGCTGAAATGTACAAATGTTTATGAACGTAGTAAACAACGTATCCGCCTTAGAGACGTTGGCTATTCAGGAATGGGACTCCTTCTTAATGAAGCACCTATTAACACTTCTCTCATTAAAAATCTTGTCAATCAAATCATTAATACAGGTATGACTAGGGCTCATAAGAGTGATTTTTTTTGTTTGTTTTTGTTTTTGTTTTTTTGAGGCAGAGTCTCCTTGTAGCCCCAGCTGTCCTGGAACTCATTATGTTGACCAGACTGGTCTTGAATTCACAAAGATCCACCTGCCTCTGCCTCCCAAGTGCTGGGATTAAAGGCGTGCGCCACCACGCCTGGCAATAGTGATGTTTTTAAGTGGTTGGTTTGCTTTGAAAGATTTTTTTTAAATCTCCTTTTTCAAGTTGCTTTTTAAATTACCTGTTATTTGATTCAGCAGGGTGTTCCTTAGGTAATATATTTCTGCATATATCTTTTGATATTCCCAGGACTCTTAGCTTTATGTAGTAAATGTTTGACTGAGTAACCAAGTTATTTAATAATTGGTTTTATAAACAAGAAAAGATTATTTGTGAAAATATATATAAAAGCTTAAATTCTTAAAGGCACTTAAGTCCTTAAGGTTAAAATAAAAACTAATTTATTTTTTAATTATTTTTGTAATAATTTTTTTCAATACTTAGGCACAAACTAGAATTTATGGCAGATGCTCAGGTGTAGACTGAGGGTCTTTATCTTGAGTAGTATCCTAAGTAGCTTATCAAGTCCCAAACATGTAGTCTCGACAGTATGCTCCTCAAAGAGAAGTTACTCAGCTTTTACTCAGATATTGTCAATCTGAAGTTTGGGGGAAAAATTTGGACATAGCTCTCTATAATTCTCATTTGAAAATGAATTGAATTCTCATATGAAAATGTTTCAGCATTTGTATAAGTAACATCCATTCTTCTTTGGCTATCTATGAAATTTAATTTTACCTTTTTTTCCCCATTGCAGATCCTGTCATTAATTTCAAAGATCTGTTATCTGTGGTATATATATCTCACAGAACACATGTAAATGTCAGAGTGATTCTCTGTAGAAAGGTTAGTAAACTTGCAAGATGTATCATCACATTGTGAGTAAATTTCTCAGTGAGTACTTTGCAACAGATAAAATTTTTAATTTTGATTATTTTATAAATGGCATTTTTATAAACAACTTAAAATGAATTATTTCCATGTAATTGTAAGAATGTGCATAAAATACAGTTGCTGCATCAAAGTGTATTCCCACTTGACATTTTGATGGACTTTGCATGTTATTGTCCTTTAGAATAACTATACCAGTTTACATTTTCACAGTGTGTGACATTGACATACCCTTGACGCTGAATCCTAATAATTTGTAATAGATCATGTATATTGAGTCTTTCTTTTCAGCTTGCAATTAGACAGAAATAACTGTGATTGCAAGTTGGTTTTATACATTATATATGTGTAAAACAGATAGAAAATGAGTGATATTCATGAAAACTTTGAAGTTATTTAATCATAAAAATTTCTTTGCAAAGCAGAGCTTAGTCTGAATGAAAATAATTGATGGTCTGCATTATTAGAATAATGGTAGCTTCATGACTGATAGCATTAATGAGAAAAAAAAACCTCATATGTCACTGTCCCTCATTAGTGTTGGAACCCCAGTTTGGGGTACCCAACGTCCACAGGAGGCCGCTCCCCAATGACTCAGTCCTCAGACCAGGAGATGCAACAAGTAAGAGGATTTATTTGGCATTTTGCGCAAAACGGACCCCTGCCTCACTCGGAGGGCAGAAGCCCAGAGCCCAGTTCACAGTTTTCTTTTAAAGGCAAAAACTACAAGCGGCGGCTATGTGCCAATCAGAAAAGTGGCGGCTATGTGCCAAGCAGAGGTAGGGGGAGATTTCTGGGATGATTTCCAGCTTGGGCAGGGAGCATGAAAAAGGTCAGCTCAGCTTGTTCTTAGCAGTTAGAATTTATTTTTCATTTTTACTTCCTTGTACAGTTTTTCTCAGGCCTGGGGGATTTTAGTTTAAATCTATCATTTTGGAGGGACTTGGGTCCATCATTTGGGGGGACTTGGGTCAATCACTAGGTTGTGTCGCTATAGAGCCTGTTCAATGCCAGACTGGGCAACTTAGGAGACCCTATCTCAAATAAAATAAAAGGGATGATTGCCAAGGTTCTCAGCCCTAGGCTTAGAGCAATCTCAGTATTACAGTCAGACACAGGGTGTGGTGAGGGGGCCTTTTTTATTGGTCCTTTACAACCCAGTTTGCAAGGTTTCTCCAGGGCCTCTGGTTTCAGTTGTGCCAAGAAAGAGGCTTAGAAGTTGTTACTCTCATACTGACAAGAAAAAGCTGAGCAAAACTAGATACCAATGTTTTTTCTTGGACTCATTAGAGAACTGAGGTTGTAGGGCAAACTGATATCCTTGAAGCTGGAGAGAGACAAACAGCTACAGAACTACAGCCCAGAGCCTCTTATCTGGAGCACAAACCCCTGGTGCATAATGACAGGACACTTCAGTGGATGAGCTGCAGATGATTGAATGTAGACTGGCTTCCCGCAACTTCCATGAGTTTTATCTCCTGGAATTCCACCAGCTTCCCATGGTGAAGAGCCAAAAAATCCCTCTTAATTCTGGCAAAGAGAGAGGACAAGTGACCATTTTGAAATATGCCTCCTGATTGTCCCCAATAAAAGTCCGCTGTTCATTGAAAGAACTTCGTTGGGGCTTTGCTTCCTAGAGGCAGCAACTCAGCCGCAGCTCCTCCAGCCTTCCTGTTTCGCCTAAATAGGCAGTGAAGAAAGGCAAGAAACACTTGGGAAGGTCCTAGCTCAGAAGGCAGGCCCCTAATACAGTACCATTTAACCATGAGATTATGGACTGCTTCCCCTCCCCCACCTAACAGGGCTTCAGAGCAGTGACACAAGATTATGGTTGAAAGAGCTGCAAGACTTGGGTCCTATTTTCAAAAAAAAATTAAGAAAACTCAATGATAACAGGAAAGACGAAACAAGGGTATTAGAGGAATTCCAAGCCACTAACACGTATGACTACAGCAAACCTTAAATGCAGATCAACACCTAACCAAGCTAATAGAGACCCTCTTACCTAAGGCCTCTGCACCTCAGCTCCTACTGCCAAATACATTGTGTCCAGTCTCAGTAGTACAGTATTACAGTATTGTGTCAACAACAACAACAAAAATACATTACATTGTGTCAACCGAAAAATAAGACATTTAAAATAACTATAATTAGTATGTTA